TGTGAATGCATGCGTGCGCTCACGTGTGTGTGTGTGTCTGTGTGTGTGCGTGCGTGCATGCATACGTGCGCTCGTGTGTGTGTGCATGCATGCGTGCGCTCACGTGTGTGTGTGTGTCTGTGTGTGTGCGTGCGTGCATGCATACGTGCGCTCGTGTGTGTGTGCATGCATGCGTGCGCTCGCGTGCGTGTGTGTGTCTGTGTATGTGTGTGTGCGTGCGTGCGTGCATGTGTTTGCGTGCGCCAGCACGTGTGCGTCCGACTCACCAGTGTTCGCTCTTCTATAAGGCTGTTTTTTTTTTCATTTACTCATGAACATGTGAAATAGGAACCACTGATGGGATCTAGAAGGCTGACTCAATTTTATACTTAAATTTTAAGAAACCTGCAGATAGAGTTTACTCAGTAAATGATCCCTATAATGATTCTGAAAATAAGTTGTGTAGACACACACACACACACACACACACACACACGCACGCACGCACGCACACACACACACACACACACACACACACACACACACACACACATGACTATGCAAATGCTCTTAAGGGCCTACATGGTAAGTGTTTTGACAGATTTTATATATTGCTATAGTTTTATTTTTGGCTTTAACAAGCAGCTGCATATCAGTGGACTTTCTTTTCCTGTTGAATCTCTGTTATGGTGTGTGCCGAAACAAAGATTATTATTTCAAGCTTGCGACAAAATAAGCACTGCACATGTAGGAGTATGGTAAATGGTAAGAAGATAAAGGATATTGTATTTCACTATTTTTTACTTTTCTGTTTTCCCCCTGAGGCATTGCCACCTTCTTGAGGTCTGGGGGTTCACAAGCCACAGTGAGAGTAAGAGCTGCAGCTGCAGAAGCTCAGCCTTCAGGTGGGGCACCATAGTTGGGCAGGTCTGGGGCATAATATAGAATAACCCCTTAATACTTACTGAAATGTTAAAGCCTTATGCTCCAACACGAGCCCTCAGGTCCACCTACCAGAACCTTCTAGAAGTTCCAAAGACCAGACATAAAAGTCAGGTGGTCGATCCTTCCAGACTGTTGCACCCGACTTTGGAATGATCTTCCTTTATCCTCGCGCAGCACTGACAGTCTGGACACTTTTAAAAACAGCTGAAGACCCTTTAATTTAAAGCTGCTTTTACCTAAATATTTTATTTTCTTAATTTTAACTCAAATTTTTAACCAACTTTCATCTCTTTATGAAATTTTATAATTTTATGACTTTAGTTTTTCTGATGTTAATTTATTTCTGCTTTGAGATCATTATGACTTTATGACTTTGTTTTATTTTGTTTTGATCCATGTGAAGCACTTTGTGATTCAATGTTTGTGATAAGTGTGATATAAATAACATTTACTTACTTACTACTTAATAATGTCGCATTTTATTCATAAAGCACTTTTCTAGACAGTCAGAGCTTCTGAAAAAAGTCAAGATAAAACAGGCAGATTATCCAACAATAAAAAATAAACTTTAAAACAGTTTTCAAATAAATCTTGACAAGAGTTTTTCAGGTGGAGAAGTCAGTGGGTGGTTTGTGAGAGGGTGGGGCCAGCAATAGAGAAAACAAGTCTCCAAAGGTTCATAGCTTGGTTCTGTGGGCGAGGAAGAGGAGGGAGAGGGATGTAGCTGAGTGGTAGGAGGGGGCCAGGTTAAGCCTGGTTTATGCTTCTCCGTCTGCGTCAGTGCGGAGACACGCAACACCATTATCCGTCCTTGCGTAGGGCTCCGGCAGGCACGCAAGTACGTACGGAGTCAAGCTCTCTTTTTTAAACATCCGTCGAACGAGATGGACAACGCAAGCTTGTGATTGGTCAGGATGCCGCTGTTGTCTACAGCTCTGCCATTGCGCCCTCAAAAACATAAAGAAAGCCGAGAATAACTAGCGGCAGACACAGAGAAGCTTGAAGAATACCTCGCGAAAAAACTCTAAAAATATGAATGTTTAATTCCCCGTGACTGGAGGAGTGAAAAGAACGGAAGAGACGGAAATGACAGCAAACGTGGGTTTAGAGGTGGGGAGCGCATGAAGCGGTGGGAGAATGAGAGACAAATATATCCATGTTAAAAGTCTCTTATATACACAAAAAACACAATATGAACACACGATCTTGGACCGATACATGACAGGATACCACAGAACAGCACTACACCCTCTGTTGTCCTGCCGGGCAATTGCTTTGCAACACTCTCCAGGAGACGGAGAAGTATGAGAGCAAAATGCTTCCGTCAATCCGTGCGTGTCTGTCCCTTGCGGAGCTGACGGAGAAGCATAAACCAGACTTTATGGAGGACCTTGAAGGTGATGCACTGAGGAAGAGGAAGTCAATGGAGGTCATGAAGAGACAAGAGTGATGAGGTCATGGGAGTGCAGACTGGCAGCAGAATTCTGGATGTCTGGAAGTCTGGTGAGGGTTTTGGATGGGATACCATAAAAGATGTTATTGCTGTAGTCCAGAGGTTCCCTAATGTATTCATTTGAGAACCTCCTTGCTTGTGTCCAAGACAAGCCAGGACCCCCAACCTCAACTCCTACAGGCATACACAGTAAACGTGATTATTTACTATTTTTTACAAATAAAATCTTGCTAACCTCACAACCTCAGCAAAGACAAAATTGTGGGGACCCCCTTGGGGGCCCTGACTCCCAATTTGGGAACCCCTGCTGTAGTCCATTTATGATGCAATGAAAGTGTTTTAGGGACAGAGAAGGAAAGGGGGGGTTAGTGTTTAACAAAATGCAATTCCAATCACATGACAACAACATCCAGAGCCGTTCCACCACTAACACATGCTTTTTCCTCTTATGTCGCCACTGCTGCCCCCTTTACAATTCTATCTTCCCCCTCAAATATGCCAGTCTAGAACTGGACCCGGTTACAGCACAGTTGCGTCTCCAGTCAAGATGTTAGAATGATGAATATTTGACTGTTCTATCAGTTTATCTCATTTAATCACATTCTTTATTTGGACTATTAATCAAAGCATTATAAGTCTGATTTCACAGAAAGTTTCCTTATTCAATTTCTACAAATAAGAAAGATCAAAATGTTTTACATCAGTAAAATCCAAAATGACATCATGTGAATGCATATGCACACGTGAACCCCCTCTGCACCACATGTCTCAAGACAACAATGGAAACACATTTTATGTAGCAACAAGATTGTAACAAATACACAAAGAAATAACATCTTAATGTTTTTGGCCATATGCAAAGCTAGAAACAGTCTACAGATGTAGGAAAATATCGATATGGCAATACATAGTGATATTTTCTCCTGCGATATTATATTGATATCCTAAAGCCATGTATCGATTTTTCGGGGGAAGAACTTACATGCAAACATTTGTGTCTTTTCTTTTCTTTTGGTGCTATTTGAGTGCCAACCGCTAGTTGGCAGTAGTGTTCAATGGGTTTTGTTTCCACCATTTAAATGTAAATTCCTCCACTATGGTTCAGATTCCTGTTGTTAAACATGTTACGCATCAGTTTGGACTGTTTATTGAATTTCCCTTCTTTAAATTCAGTCTAATAAATTGCTAATATCGTCTGACTGAAAGTATTGCAATATATCGGACTGTCTTTCTGACATATCAAAATGGATGAAATCCCACCATCTCCAACTCAACCTCTCTCAAACTGAATTACTTGTCATCCCAGCAAAACCATCCACACAGCACAATATCTCAATCCAAAATGACTTCCTATCTCTGGCTCCTTCAAAGGCAGTTCAAAACTTGGATGTTGTGATTGATGAACACCTGACCTTTAAAGATCATGTTGCCGCTGTTGCTCATTCATGCCGCTTTGCGCTGTATAACATACGAAAGATCAGACCATACCTAACACAACATGCCACCCAGCTCCTGGTGCAATCTACTGTCATCTCCCGCCTCGATTACTGCAATGCCCTTCTAACAGGTCTTCCGGCCTGGACTGTGAGACTTCTTCAGATGGTCAAGAATGCAGCAGCGTGTCTGGTCTTCAATCAGCCTAATAGAGCACACGTCACCCCTCTGTTCATTGAGGTCCATTGGCTACTGCTAGCTGCACGTAAAACACTAGCACTAACATACAAAATCCTGGATGGTACGGCTCCCATCTACCTAAATCCTCTTGCAAAGGCTTACGTCATAGCCTGGCCGCTCCGGTCATCAAAGGATTGTCGGCCAGCAGTGCCTACACCACACTCAGGACAATCCAGACTCTTTTCATGTGTTGTTCCACAGATGACCTACCAAGCTCTACCAGAACAAGGGCTTCCTTGTCAATTTTCAAGAAACTCCTGAAGACCCAGATTTCAGAGAGCATCTTCTAAACTAGCACCCTCCCTGCACCCCACTCTACTGCACAGTCCATGTTTGCTTCCCTCTATGATTGATTATGCTGCCTCATTGCCATCTAGGATTGACTGAATAGTGTTTGTTATTAGCCTAAGGGCAACCTGCTGGCTTGATTGTGACCTCTAAGTCGCTTTGGATAAAGTGTCTGCTAAATACATTAAAATAAACATATCATGATATATCGTAGCATCTCCCCTGTATTATGATGCATATTGTATCACCAGAATTTGTTGATGAAAAAAAAAGTCCTACCTAGGTACTAATATCATAGTAGTCTGGTTGCAACATATTCATTAATTCTACGAACAGTCAATAAAGATCAAAGTTCACATTATGAGTTGTCAGATTAGTAACAGTGAGAATATACATTTAATATCATGTTTGAAATAATAGTTTTTATTTTTATTTGTACTATCTGTTAAGTTTTTATGGAAAACTGGAGCAGTAGAAATGATGATTAATATAATTATAATTGTTGTTGTTTCAGTTGTTTGTGTTTTGTCTTGTGTTTCTTTCTGTCTGTTTGAAAGCAAATTGTGGCTGTAATGCTTTTCTAGATTCTTGTCAGACCACACGAGGGCGGTAGACTTGTGAACGCCACCGTGCAAAACCGTGTGTAGCAATAGAAACCACAGAAGAAGAAGCAGAAGCTGGAGGGAGACACCCTGGCCTGAAGCGCACTGCGGCCTGTCTCATCGCATCGTTATACACTGAATTATGACATGTAGAAGACTTTGTGGTAAGTTGTGAATAAGCTACCTGTTCGGGTGATTTGTCTGTAACTTATTCATCCGATTGTAATAATAAATATGCTTTCTGTTCTACCAAGATAGATGAAACGTTAATCACTATGATAAGCTAACGTTAGCTCTCCTGGTAGCTCACAAAGAAAAGGAAAGCTTCACGTAAACCTATTCAAGCTGCCCGTCATTTATGCATATGCTATTTTAAAATGTGATTATTCCTTATCGTAGATTTATGTTAAGATCAATATTTAAGTTATTAATGTGATCATCGATTTGACATGCTACAGTTTCTTTTTGGTAATTTGACCACTAAGCTGGAAGCACTCGTTTATATTAACAGAATGTAGAATGTGTATAAAATGTTCCCGTTTGTTTCGTTCATATACTGTTAAAAAAAGGGGTTTCTTTGTTTACATCAAAGGAGAGCAAAATCAAGATTTTCTTTTGTGTACAAAATACGTTACTTGTTTTAATCTGTGGAAACGAGGGGCTGAGTTTGAAAACCTCGATCATCTAAAACGGGTTACAAACTGTTTTAAGTCCATTCAAGCTTGAAGAGATGATTGTGGTGTGAGCACAATTGATTAATCTGAGAAAAGATTCAATCTGACCACGAATTAATCGTTGTAACAACTTATTTGTTTATTTTTTTTTATTTTGCTTTATAAATGAGCAACAACTACATTCTTAAATGATTTTGTTTTTTTATCTATCTTTAGATATTTCAGATTGAACTTTTTTTTTCTTCTGATAGCAGTATCAATTAAGAAAATAATTCAGGATGATGTGACTTTGTTTTACTTTGGTTGAAGTCCAGCTCAATTAAGAGCAATTTGACACTGACTTGGTCCTGTTCATACCGCGGTGAAGTTAGCTAGAAGTTGGACGTTGGATGTTCGACAGACATTGGTTTACACGGTCAGCGATGAGTCTTCATGCCGTGCACTGCGGCACAGACAGCGGTATGTGGTTCGCTTAGGGACTATCAACAAATTGTAGTCCTTTGTAAACGAGTAAAAAAAACTTAAAAGCTTCCAGAATAATTTGCTAAATGACTCAAAATTACTTCTGACTTGTGTTACTAAACTGCATTTACAAGACACAACAGTTTTAACACATTTCACACAATCTGATCTTTTTTATTGGGATTTTATTCCAAAATTAAGTTTTTTTTTCAATAGCTCCTAGGTAAATTATTAATACCCAATACCATTTCTTAATATTACTAAGCCAGACCAATGAGACACAGCAGTTATTACGTTTCACAAGATCTGATTATTTTTATTAAAATTTTTTATTAATAAAGTGATTTCTTTCAGTAGCTCCTAGGTTAATTGATGTTACTACAAAACCATTTCTCAATTATGTTACTAAGCTACACCAATGAGACACAGCAGTTTTTATTACATTTCACAAGATTCAACATATTTTATTAGGATTTTTATCAAAAATTAAGTGATTTCTTTTAATAGGTCCTATGTTAATTGCTCTAAACACCCAAAACCATTTTTAAATGATGTTACTTAGCCAGCCATGAGACACAGCAGTTTTTAATCACATTTCACAAGATCTGATCTTTTTAATTAGGATTTTCTTGAAGAATTCTATGATTTCTTTCAATACCTCTTAGGTTAATTGATTTTAATACCCCAAACCATTTTTCAATTATGCTACGACACCAGACCAATGATACACAGCAGTTTTTATAGCATTTCACAAGATCCAATCCAAGTAATTTTTGTCAATAACTCCTAGGTAAATCGGTCAAAATCTAAACCATTTCTCAATGGTGTTACTAAGCCAGACCAATGGAACACAGTAGTTGTTTTCACATTTCACAAGCTCTGATCCTTTTTATTAGAATTTTTATTAAAAAATAAGTGATTCATTTCAATAGCTCTTAAGCTAATTGCTGTAATTACTCAAAACCATTTCTCAATGCTCAGCTTAGTAACAACATTGAGAAATAGTTTTGGGTATTTTGACTAATTTACCTAGGAGCTATTGGGGGAAAAATCCTGTGATTTTGTATAAAAATCCTAATAGAAAAGATCAGATTGTATGAAAGTGGTTATAAACTGCTGTGTCTCATTGGTCTGGCTTAGTAACACAATTGAGAAATGGTTTAGTGTATTTAGACTGATTTACCTAGGAGCTATTGAAAAAAGTCCCTTAATTTTGGAATAAAATCCTAATAAAAAAGATCAGATTGTGTGAAATGTTAAAACTGTTGTTTCTTGTAAATGTAGTTTAGTAACACAAGTCAGAAGTAATTTGGAGTCATTCAGGAAATTATTTTGGAAGTTTTAAATTTTTTTGTACTTGTTTACAAAGGACTACAAATTTGTTGATAGTCCCTAAGCGAACCACCATCAGCGAGTCCTGGCAACTCAGGTTACCGTTGTATGTGCCGCAGTGCACGGCATGAAGACTTATCGCTGACCGTGTAAACCAATGTCTGTCAAATATCCAACGTCCAACTTCAAGCTAACTTCACCGCGGTTCTGTTGATGCTAAAAAAAGATGCTGATGCTCCACAAAGTACTTTACACTACAGTCTGTCACAGGGGCGGTTCTAGACCAAATTTTCCAGGGGGGCCACAGTGGGGCCAGTATTTTTTCATGGGGGCGCAAGACAAAAAAAAAAGGGAAAAATTAGGGCAATATCAAAATTGTTTTTTGTCTCTGCCATATGACTAATTTTGTGCTTGTGCACAATTTTGCCAAAGGAAATTCCTAGTACTGTGAAACTCACTTTTTTGTTCTCTTCTTTTTCATATCTATCTTTACTATATTTTGGGGATCAAATTTATCAAAAATTTTCCTTTACTTTTTTCATCTATGATCTTTTACAGCTGTATTTTACTAAAATAAGATTCAGATAAATTCATAATAAAAAACAATGAACAAGTAAACTTACAGCGAATGCAGTAATGGTTTACTTGTGAAAGTAAAACTGGCATGTTTTTATGGTACTCAGATAACAATTCTGAATGCTTCACTGCAACATGAGACTTGAGTAAAAAAAATAATTCTAGTTGATTATTATAGTTTGTGACTTTATTTGAAGATTACATGTACTGTACACATGAAAAATAAACATTCAAACAAATTAAATATGTGCACAATACAATTTAAAATTTTGCCTTTCAGACTTTGCATGTACTGAAAACTCCCCCTCCTCTCTCAGTTGCTTTTTTCCAGTTCCTAAATCCACATGGTGAGTCAAACACACTTCCTGCGCTACTTGGTGAGCTAAAATGTCTGCATGCATGACAATAAGTAGAGTCCATAGTAACAGAATATTCAACCCAAGGATGACTTTCATACCAGCTTGGCTGAAAGCTGCGTCTTCTGTCTCCTATTAATGTCACTGGAAATGTCCTCAAACTAGGCTGAGTAGGTGGGTCATCCTTGCACTTGCTGATATCTGAAAGAAAATAAATGTTAGCATTAGGGCTGCAACAAACGATTATTTGGATAATCGATGAATCAGATGGGGTCTCGACACGATTAATCGGATTACATAGGGACATTGTTAAAAACTGCTAGGGAAACGTTATTTCTCTCCTTCCTTCACTTTATTAAACACAACATTATTAGAAAACAGTTCAATAGCAGAAAAACAACATGCCATCACCTAAATTGTCTTATAAGGTGTATAGACAGAGACCCTAAGCTACACCTATCTGTGACCTAAAATGCTTGGTCCAAGTTAAACAGCTTAAAGAGCAAGTCAACCCCTACCAGAGTCTAACTCCACTCCCACTTCATGTTTGAAAAATGCAACACATGCTGTTGCCTGGCAGACCGAGAGGGCGGAGCCGCTAACAAATACACACACACTCAGGCTCACGACAGCATTGTGACATCATAATGTACCAGTTTACATCATAGCATACTTCTTAGCCAATAGCGGTGGCAGATTTAAATTAAAATACAGTGCAGAGTTTTTACCTGACAACGGCACAACACTGCCAGTTTTAGGCAGAATATTTAAATTTTAACTAAGATGTACTGAAGTGCCAAATTATTGACGACACGTGTCTGCAGCACGATTAGACACTCGTTTATTTAGTTTATCAGCAAAAAAAAGTTTATTTGGGGGGTGACTTGCTCTTTAAGGGCAATTCTCATCTGTTTTGTTTGATCTCATCCGTAGACATTTATTATAATTGGGGATGTCAAACAACTAATTTTTAAATGTAATTAAACATAGGCTGTGAATTAATCAAAATTAATCACTATTTCCAAAAATGACTGAAAAAATACCAAATAAAACAAAAATAAATGAAGGCCACCCTCCTTGCGATGATGCCCTGGGCAACTGCCATAAAGTCACATCAAGAAATGCTGCTGATCATTCCAATGATCCCAAATAGACTCACATTAGGCCACATGAAAGCAACTGAACCCAAAAATATATTAACCAGTATGTAACTGCACTTTCACACAACACAACAGTTAGGACTCCTCCCTCCCTTTTAAAAGCGTTTTCGCTTCTGAGGACATTGTGGTTATAAAGCCACATGTTAGTAGTCTGGCCCCGGTGTGATCAACCAGTTTCTGCGGGAATGTGACGGCGGAACCGGTTCGCAGCAGCGCGAGTCCCCCCCCCACCTATCTAATAGCGTCGCGCTTACGATTTTATAGACTTTTTTTCTACGAGCTTAGGGCATGTCTAGCCTGTGTAATAATCCGGGGCTTGGGTGAATCACTTTTGAAAAGTTTTTAACTTACACGGACACCGAGCTCTCTCCTTCCTCGCTGATGATTTTGACATGCTTGCGTTTAAGATGCTGCATCATCACTGCAGCACTCACGTGCCATGCTAAGTCTGACCTACAAACGTTGCAGGTAACGAATGTCGTCGCCTGATTTAACTGAAAATGCTCCCAAACTTTAGAAGTTTTTACTTTTTTGGGTCTCGCTGCTTCTGCCATGTTCCTCTTCCAAACACCTGCCGGCTCTGCGGTCTGCGCGCAACGGCGGGCGGGAGGGGAGGGGGCTTTTGGAAGAGTTGTGCAACACAACGAATCGATGACGCAATTCGTTGCCAACGCTTTTAGTAATAGATTTTCATCGAATTTATCAATTCGTTGTTGCAGCCCTAGTTAGCATGAGGATAAAAGTCATAATTAGTTAATTCAGAGTCTTATTTTATCTATTTATTAAATATAAACAACAGAAATTTTGGTCCAGAGTCAGCATGCCTCAAATGCATTTTACACACATTATGAGCTGCAATCACAGAGGGGTTGTTAACACCCACAAACCTGACGGTAGTGTACACGGTGCACATGACAGAAGATGTCCCTCTTTTTGCTCCTCACTCTCTCCCTCACAGCCTACATCTTCCTCCTCCTCACTCTCAGGGTGGACAGCCTCTGACCTCTCTGGTTCCTCTCCAACCAACTCCTCCTCCTCTCTTTCATCCTGCTTCTCAGCTCCCTCGTGACTTTCACAGGGTATCCGCGGGTCCTTAAAAAGTCTTAAAAAGTCTTAAATTAGCTTTTCCAAATTTAAGGTCCTAAAAATCCTTAAAAATGACAAAAAATCCTTAAATACAGTTTCCAAAGGTCTTAAATTACCAAAGACCCAATAAACAAGATTCTTTTATTTCTATAACATTTTCGTGAATTTCTAGTTAGTGTTCAGCATTTTTGTGTACGATATTGGCATAAGCGGAACCGTACACATTCAGTTGGTTGTGAAAGGGGGCTATTTTAAATGAGCACATTAGCTGGTTAAGCTAGTGGGAGCGTGCACCATGGGGAAGTGTAAGGTTAATGGTAACTGGATGGCTAATCCCACGTTTGCGACGTGGTTAGCACCGGTTCCGGGCAATAGCTGGAAGTTATAGCTTAAATTTAATTTTTAAAATAGCTTATATTTGGTCAAAGTGGCCTTAAGAAAGGTCTTAAAAAGTCTTAAATTTGTCTCCCTTAAACCTGCAGATACCCTGCTTTCATCCTTTCTCTGTCTACGCTGTTCTTTATTAACAGCGGCAAAAAAGGACAAAATGTCCCTTTTTCTTTTCATGGCCGCTGATGCTTCCAGTCAGTGCTGCGAGAAAGTCACAGATAAATGAATACTGTAATCCAATCTCAACGTGTCTAAGGTTTAAAATGCAGCAACTTCATTTTTATTTTACAGTTAATGTTACAAAGGAACAACAAATCAGTGTTAACTGTGGATAGACTCAGTCAGGAACTTAAAAGTAAATGACAGAAACGCGCGACTACGATCAAAACACTGATGTCAGGAAAATAAATTGTATTGCTTACCTTCATCTCTTAGCGTCTTTTCCGTTAGTCGTGCTCAAGAATTTCTTCGGGTCCCATTTAAACTATTTTTAATCTTTTATTAAAAAATCCACCGGGTAAACAGTTCTGTCCACAGAGTGTGCTGCGCTTTAAAGGCTCCGTGTGAAACGCTGGAGCGCATTCGTTCCCGTCTCCGAGGCAGTGCGGGAAAAAAAAACTCAGATCTCTTCAGCTCAGGGGCCATAACAGGGGCCAGGGCTGGTTCTAGAGGGGCCCAGGCCCCTGTGGGCCCCTGTTTAAAACCGCCAATGGTCTGTCATTCATACACACACACACACACTCTCTCTCTCTCTCTCTCTCTCTCTCTCTCTCTCTCTCTCTCTCTCCCCCCCCCTCTCTCTCTCTCTCTCTCTCTCGTCTAGCATTTGTTGTGAGGACCATCATTGACTTCAATTAATTTTTGTGACTGGATTGTGTCTGATCCTAACCTTAACTATAGCACAATTAAAATACACAATTTTATTTAGATTTCAAAATGAAAAAAAAAAAAAGATAAAGTTAAAGGGCGAACAATCGCAGTGCAGAACATGCAGTATAAGAACAATATTAAAGGGCTGATTTAAAAGTAACAAAAAAAATTAGTTTTTTGTTTTTTAGGTTTCTGACCACTTTTTAAAAGGTTTTCATTTATCTTTATTTGTTGATCGGTGTGTGGTGTAGACAGAAAGCAATGAAAAAAATTTCAAGCTTATACGTTACGAGGCAGTGCCTGGATTTTCGTCTCAGTTCTCATGGTTAACCGTGACATGCCGTCAATGAGCTCACTTCTTTCAGCACCATGGATAGCAGTGTTATCCGTCATGTCCTGTGTCAATGCAACTTGCGAAACCCCACACTGGAAATCAGTGGTAAATTTTGCATACCTCCTGCACGCCGGTTAGGGCGTGGCTATAGAAGCGTGAGAAGCCGCTGTCTGCGACAGTTGTGGAGGGATACGGCTGGAACACATCGGCAGTCAGCGTCTGGAGGACATGAGGAAGTAACATTCTCTTAGTCGTGATATGCGCTCAGGCTTCAGTTTTGTCCTGCTTCTCTGACTAAATGAATTCATTGTTATTTGTGGATAAACAAACGCTTTAGTCTATGTTTATTTACAACAGAAATAAATTATTATCTTAATGTAGAAGAATGATGATCTTTACAGTGGGTTAACCGGGGTCAAACCAGTTAACCAGTTAATAGTCAAACCAGTTAATCCTTGCAACCCTACTACTAAAAACATAGAAATGGTCAGCTAGACCCACATCCTTAACAACGTTTACACATCTACATCTTTAGTTAAAGAGACAATGTGTAGTTTGTCCTTGGGGTAGATGTCGACAAACAAAATAGTCGACTATTAATTTAATAGTTTACTATTTTGTTTGTCGACATCTTCGTGACGAGTTGACTAATCGTGGCAGCCCTAAAGACCACAGGCACAGTTCAAGGTAAGGCTTGAAATGGCAGACCAAGAAAAATCTCTGATAGACAGAAGTGGAGAATGGTGATAACGGTCCGTCTAGCACTAAAGACCTACATCATCTTGCTGCAGATGGAGTCACTGAGCATCATTTAACTATGCAATGCACTTTACACAAACAGATGTTGTATGCAAGAGTGATGCAGAGGAAACCTTTTCTCCACTCACTGCACAGAGCTGCTTGAGGTATGCTAAAGCAAATTTGGACAAGCCAGCTTCATTTTGGAATAAGGTGCTGTGGAGTGTAGGGCTGCAACAAACGATTATTTGGATAATCGATTAATCGGATGGGGTCTCGACACGATTAATCGATTAATCGGATTACATGGGGAAATTTTTAAAAACTGCTAGGGAAACGTTATTTCTCTCCTTCCTTCACTTTATTTAACACAACATTATTAGAAAACAGTTCAATAGCAGAAAAACAACATG